AGAGCAGTGGTATCTGGCATAACTCTACCGAGTCTGACGCAGCGGAGTGTGTACGCTGGGCACAATGTTAAGGCTCGATGAAACCCTGTTTATCATCCAATTTTTATACTGCTCCTCGAAAAGTTGTATCTGCAAGGGTTCAGCCGGATGGCTGCAGGCGTGAAAGAGCTAGGCTAGTCTTTGTCTTGCTAGACAAGCACTGCTGACGTGGGGATGCCCGACGTCACGATGGCGAGCCGGTTCGCGACTAGAACGCACGCGTCGATGAAGCGTGCTTGTACCATTCTCACACACGGTCGTTTTCAGATACAGGCCTGGTCCCATGAGGCCAGAACCAGCCCTGTCATGTCGTGATGCGCCCGTTGGATGAACGACACCCATCGCGCCGTTCGAATATGAAGGAACCTGCATGAGCCACTCCCCGCAGCGGTGTGCCGTACAAAAATCATCACCGCTTGCTAGGGGCAAAAGTAAACTTGCCCATACATGGGAGCCGTACTGATGCAGGCCGGGAACAAATGGCGCCCGCGGACGATATAAATTGCAGCTACCCGTCTCATCCTCCTTGGTCCCAAACCACATCCACCATACCATTTTACGCTGTTCATATCGCCTTCAAACGTCGCCTTCACACCCTGAAAACCGCATCGTATTGCTCAGGCCACCAAGCCCCGATTGTAACGCGTCGCCGAAACATCAACAATAAGGCCACATCGCCCGTCTCTCCTACCACTTCGCCACTCGCACAGCAATCACATCCGCTTATCATACGACACTCTTGTTGCGTCAACGACATCGACACGTCGTGCACCACCAACCACCCCGTAACCGGACCACAATACCCCCGAACAGCACCCACGCCACATCCCCACTTCGCCGGCCACAATGTCCACACTCGAAGATTTGTACGCCCTGGAAGAGTCAGTCGAGTGGCTCAACCGCTTGCTCGCCGCACTCCACGACCTCGCACCCGACGCACCTTTCGACCTCCGCGGCGTCGCGCAGCGGGAGCTCGTCACCATAAGCGACCTACATGCCAAGAAAGAGAGCGAGCGGGACCGGGTGGCCTTTGAGCTGTACGACGCCGACCTGAGCGACCACGATGGCCACGCCGCTGAGTCCGATGTTGAAGAAGATGGACGACTCGGCGACGACGAGAAAGGCCACGGTGGTGACGATGACGGCGACGAAGGCGGCGGCGATGACACTGGCGATGCGCAAGGCCAATTTTTGCCTGTTCGCCTCCCTGTCTCGCCGCCATCCGGATACCGTGAATATCGTATTGTGAGCCCTCCGCCTACTTTCTTGCAGAACCGAGGTAAGTTACACTTGTGTAATGTTTAATTGAGTTGATACTGATCCCCCTTGCGTAGCTCTAGCTCGCCCAAGCCCTGCACAGCTATCATATGTCCGCGAACACAGCGACCAGGCACCCAGAGACGACGGCGTTCGACGAGGGGCTCGTACAGCGGTATCCACTGCTGTTCAGTTCGTGTCGAACCGTACAGAAACGAATACAGCCGAACAAGGCGCCGCCTTGTCTCGCAACCACTCCCTCCAACACAACACACCTTTGGGCCGCGTCGACCGCATCCCAGCCCCAGTTGCCACAAGCAGCTATCGCCCTCAGCAGTGGACACACACACCTCAGAGTGAGAACCAGAGGGGGAAGAAAAGAGCGCTGGGGGTCGAGGAAGTCAAGGAAGAGGAGGTCGATGAAGAGCCCCGGAAGAGGCACGCCGCGAACAAGGAGAATGTTGCCGCCGACCCCAGCAAGTACGACGATGGAGAGCGTGACCCAGAGGGTCCCAGGCCTAAGCGTAGCAGGCGAAGTGCACTCCGCCCGTCCTTCTGTCACCCGTCTCGCCATGTGGAGAACCGTGACCGAGCCCGTGCTGCAGGTGTCGTCAATGTGCGGACAGCTGCGTCCGCCATGGTTGCTGCTCCGCCTGCCCCTATGCCTGCCGCGCCGGTCGCTGCGCCGATGCTCGCGGTCGTCGCGCCGGCCGCGCAGCCGGCTCAAGGTGCCTTCGTCGCCATACCGGCTCCGCCTGCCGCACCAGCTCTGCCCACCCCCACCCACCTCCCGCCAATCGTCCAGGTACTTGCTGGTCTCCCTAACCCCCCACACAACATCGTGCTGCCTCCGATCGTCGCACACCAGCCTCCGCTCGTTGCACACCAGCATCCGATCGTCCCAAACCAGCCGGCGACGACGCAGAACCCTAAGATGCAGCTTGGCTTCATCATGATGTAGCGGCTCGTGGTTCCCTACCCAACAAAGCGCAGAGAATTAGCTCTAAAATGGTCTTGAAATGTGCAAAGTAGTTAGCCCTCATCTATCGATTCTTGGTTGCGCACCTCTGGGCAACCAGTCTTGAACTAGGTGCAAGCTGGAGCTTGTAGCTGAGACAATATTGGCTTGTCGTCGTCGTCAGTATCATCGTGGAGAAATGTGGTGGTGCCCGTTGTAGCCTGATATACGAAGGGAGAGATCTGGAGAGATGCAGGTGGGAAGTTTGAGAGCGGGAATGCGAAGATTTTTACCATGCGGTAGCGTCGTGGCGTTTGCGATCGATCGGGGTCCCGAGTGCACGTGACATGAAGGCGCCCCGACTCCGCCCCCGGAGACCGCTTGGGCTCACTCTATGCCCATCGCGCTCTACAAGTGAGTGGGTCCCTGGCTGGGACCGTACACTCGCCTGCTATACGATAGATAGATAGATATGGTGACTTTTGCTCATGCTTTATGTAAGGCAATGTCTGACTCCGCCGAAAGTTTCCACCGACGCAACCAGTAAATTACTTACTCGCTTGTCTGTTTTCGGAATGACAGACGACCGACCGGCCAATTTATCATACATTCTCCGTACATGGCCTCGACTCGCTTGGCCATCGGTGTCAGGCAAGCACAAGTACTAGCTGACGAGCTCGTCTCTCGGGAGGTTTCTGGGCTTAGCAGAGGAGCATCGCCTAATGGCACGGACTTCAAGTCACGTATTAGCACCATTCAAGACAAGATGTTCGTAGGCCACCAGGATTCTGCAGCACACCCATGGCCACTCTTATTCCTTCGTTGCCGTTCATTTCGTTCCTAAGCCATGCAACCATATGCACGATTGGCCGCGAGGTGGCGAGCAGCTCCTATGATCACCTCGCGAAGAGGTATGGTAGCATTCACCGGCTCAATTTGCTCGGTACGTCACAGCCATGAGTAAAACTTGTACCCGTGCTAAGAACTTTGTGTATGCAGTAAGATTATCGGCGTCAGCTCCCGAGAGCTTCTGCATGAGGTGTCAGATGAGAAGCGATTCCTCAAGGTCCCTCGTGCAACATTGGAGCAAATATGCAGCACCGTTGGTGGACTGTCACGGCGAGTCCAACACAAATTGGTAGCGACGACTCTTGACCTGGCGACGTATGCGCATGTCCCGGACAAACAAGATCGGTACCTGGCTTGTAAGTATATGCCTCTCGTTATTTTGGCGCGTTGTAACATCACGACTGTAGGCTGGACCTCCATTCCTGCCTTGCATTCAACCCATGAACATCCGCAACGTGTTCAACATGATGAGCGGCTTAACTTCAAAGCTGGGCACGTTGGCCGACTAATTGCCCATAGATTTGGGCCTCGCCATAAGATCGACGCTACGCAAGACTTCCCCGGTCCCACATTCGATCGAACTACGCTCTGTTCGACGTCCTGTCTGTGAGTCGTTATGCCCTATAAACAGGCGGAGGGGTGACGTCTCTTTCACACTGCAGCATGAACAGCTTCTACGTCGTAATCTTTCGTTACCAGACTCTAAGAGCAACATTCTCGCCTAGTGATGTGCGGGCCGGGCCTCAAAGCCTGCAAGCCCGCCAAGCCCGGCCCAAAAAGCCTGGCCCGAGTCAAGCCTGGCAGCGGGCTCAAGGCCGGGCTCGGAGCGTAGTCAAGCCCAAGCCCGGCCCGGAAGCCCAGGCTTGGGTGTGCTGGCTCCGTTACCGTTCCCTGAGCTCATAATAAGGAGAGAGCGACCTAATATGCACATAGAAGACAAAATGTAGATATTCTAGATGTAACGGCTCCCGCCGAGCACGATTGTGCGTCACCATCTGGTGCCTGCCGTAGGCGCACGCTCGTGGACTTCGCTGCGACTCGACTTGTTCCACAGGTGTAGATCTTCTGGAGGTTATAATTTAGTGAGTACATGCAGTATTAATCTACTACACCCAAATACATTCCCTTTTGATAGCACCGGAACACTCGTTGTATTGTGAGCAAGCCCGGGCTTAAGCCCAAGGCTTGGGCCGGGCTCGGGCTCGGCTCGGGCTCAGGGCTCGGCTTGACGTCGCCACAAGCCCAAGCCCGGGCTTTGAGCCCAAGCCGGGCCCGCACATCACTATTCTCGCCCCTTGCAGGAAGACGTACACCCATTCGTGCGCGCCACATCTGTCTTCCTCCTCCAGAGCGGCAGCCGCGCCCTTAGGCCCGAGATCGTCGTGCCAAAACCGCGGTCGCCGCACCGGCCACGCAGCTAGCTCAATGCACCCTCTGCCGCCTGCTGCTGTCCGTCTCCTACCAATCATACAAGCAATTGCGACTCTCTCTGGCCCGCCTTATGATGTCGCGTTGCCTCGGATTATCGCAGGCCAGACGGCAATGGCGCAGATCCCTAGGATGGGGCCTGGCTTCATCATAATGTAGCGGCGCATGATCACGGCCTTTCCAATACAACACAGAGAAAATGGTCCGAGCTGGCTGTGGGATGTCCCGGGTCTCCATGGCATGGAAACGTTTGGACTTTGGGTCGGGCCGCGACATCCTCCACTGCCGACCTCAGAACGAGTGCATAATACTCGTAAGAGATCGAAAGCAACTGTGCAATATGAGAGGGCCACACACGCCAATATATACGACAAAGATTGAGTCGAAAAATTTGTAGGTCATGGCTGGACGCGCCGTACGACGCTGTGTCCGGGATAAAGGCCTCGTAACGACACTCGACCTGCACAAGTAAACACTTTTCTCAGTCGGCAAACATGCTGTCGTACACACACAGGTCTACGCATCATTCGGCCTTGATTTTTCTGCTGATATGTGGTCGGCCAAGGTTCTGCATGGTCTCCTGCGGGAACGGCCGGTCCCTGGACGGCGAACGCGGAATACCTCGTCCGTCATAATCAACAATGCCAACCGTGTTGTGAGCGACATCTCAAAGCGCTGCGCGTCCTGCAGCTAATCATGCCGACAATACTAGCGAGGTGAGCCGAATGCATACTGTAAATTCTGCGTGAAAATATCTGAAGGGATTCAGCGTGCTGCTATTCAATGGGACAGCTGCTGTGTAGCGTTGCACTGCCGCTCCTAAATGCATGTATTCACGCACTGTCGTTCCCGGCGGCACACCACTGAATTGAGGTCATAAGATATCATAAGCTCCGAGTATTTTGCTCGCATCAATTACGAACGTCAATGTCCGTCTAGAAAGGGAGCATACTCTGGAGTCTGGTACAATCTTCAATGCCGGTTCATGCTTCAGCGCTGGTCTCATGACGTCCCCCCTCTCCCACGTCTGCCACATCACTATCTTCATCACGGGATTCGTCACCCCAGCCATCCTGCAGTGTTCCCTCAAGATTTCCCAACCGACCTGTTGGCTTTCTGCACTGCATTTCTGGCTGTCCTTGCTGCTGGTCGCTCATGTGCATAGAGTAGTCCGACATTGTCGAGCTGGCCGTCCGGAGATTGATGATAAAGCGACTGATGAGCATCGGGGGCTGCGTGGGTAGTCCGAATCCATGAGTACAAACAATGCGAACAGAACGTTGGGCGCGCACCACGAGTGCTATCGCCGTGTTAATTATTGATTTCTCCTTGAGCTCGGCGTCAGCTATCTGCTCACGTACTACTCACGCCGGGGACGCACCGTGTCAGAGGCATTGAATGTAAGCAGCTGGGCTATACTGAGAGCCACAAGAGCTCTGTGTCCATTGTCGCCTGTGAGAAACTCCTTCTAATGCAGCTGTCTCGTTCTACTCACATGAAATACATGGTTCCTGCATGAGTCACTGGGCTTCAGCAACGGGAACTGTGTAGCCGCGCACAAGACCACTGACCATCGCGCAGCAAACATGTCGTCAGCGACGCCCTCATCTTGAGGCTACGGGCATTTCTCCAGTGTTTGAACGTCTTAAACCACGTTAGAACGAGCACGATAGCGTCAGCGATGATGAGGGAGCCGCATGTGGTATACGTGACTGTGAGTAAGTAGCATCAGTGCTTGCAACATGTTTGCAGCCTTTGACCGCGGAACATACGTCTATATTGCAAAATTATTATTCCGAAAGTGCATTGGCGAGATACGTGCACCCACATGTTAAATGTCCGTGCAGAGACTTTAGACCGCTCGGTGCATATTATTCCCATGTACGGGTTCACGTCGAACGCGAACTTTGACATTACCATAATGTACTGTATGTATGCGTAAGCTAGAACATATGTAAAGTTCGATCAGGTGATACGCACTATATTCGCCGCAATTGACACTATGCTCAACGCGAACGTTATCAGCGACCAGATATAACTCCTATCCCGGATTGCGAAGATACGCAAGGCGGAAAAAACTGGCGTATGGAGCTCAGAGGGTATTTTTTATTTGATTAGATGGCATGATGCGTACGTGCGGCTTGGAGAAATTGAGTGAGGTAGAGTATCCAGCCCAATGTCACAAGCGCCGAACAGCTATATATCGGGTTTCAGTAAGCGACCCGCTGCCCGCAGACCTTTACACAAGCTACGCTTACTCCTATAGTAAGTATTGTTACATATTGCACATAGTTAAAACACTCAAGACTTACATCCGCAGTTTCCGGCGCAAGTTCTATGACGGCCGCGAGGAGCATACACCATCGTACCGAGCCAAGGAGCACGGCACGTGCAGTAATAGGTCTCCTCCACACAATTTTGATCTCGTCACCAATGGTAATTAGATACTCATAGAAGATGAGGCCTGAAGGGTAGATATTGTGTGAGTAATCCAATGGAAAACAAATGGTGCACTTGCACGAGGTAGCTGCAATGATATAGCTATTCATGTTCCTAGGAGGCGAAAGTATGAGTATTGGGAGATCAAGTACAAACAGGGATGATGCTTACATTCGTGAGTACGCTTGGACAAGAGCCTGGTCTGACTGTGTAGACTCGGACATAGTCAACGTGGGGAAGTGGGAAGGCGTGTTATGTTGAGGGAAGGCTGAGTTATGGTCAAGATGAGCAACCGCTTGCACACTTTATGAACAACTTTGCCGGTATTCTATAAACAGACATTATTGTAACCTTCTCCAGATGTCTTTCCAGATGTGCAGCATTTTACAACAGAATAGTGCTTCGTTGGAGATTGCGAAGGGCTTCTAAAAAGCATAGGCACTGAGGAATCTGGTCTCATTGTGAGCGAAACCAGTATGGAAGTGATAAATTAACACTTTGAGCCTTAAGGTGATGAAAGGCTGATAATATGCTTGAGAATAATAGGAAACTGGATTTCCGTGCTGCCGCTATCTGCTCCACCTATATCGCCATAGGCGTTCAATTCCGAGCATGCGTCCGTCCTGCATCCGTCCCCGACGAGCATTTGCTTACCGATAGCTACATAAACATCGCCTACAGCTTTCTCAATCGAGGCGCCTGTATACTGATCCGCCAAGGCGCATCAGGCGCCGCGCCGCGCCGCACCTGACTTCCCGATGTGACGCGCACTGCGTGATGTTACCGTATTGAGATGCGATCCGCCCGCTGCGAGGAATACTTTATTGGACTACTTTCTCACTACAATTTGAGGATTCTCGCCAGACTTCTCCGTGTCCTCGAAATCTTTAGGAGCCAACAAATCATCGAAATTCTCCCAATTCTTACCCTCCGCTCCCTTCTAGCTCCGCCCAAACTCGCCGACGTCGAACCCATACGCTGATGGCGACGTGAAGGCGATCGAGCTTGGCATCGTGCATATTTTTTCAGCGTCCTCACAAGCAAAAGATGAGTCGCTCGGCTGCAAATATACTCAAGAGTCAATTTTGCTCTTCTTGTGGCTGTAATGACCGTCGTGACGGTGCAGCGGTATTTGGCATGACTCCCCTATCGAGTCTGACGTAGTGGACTAGTGTGTATGATTGGCGCAAAGGTCAGGCTCGATCATTACAGTCTGATTTACCGTTCAATTTTCAGACTGCTCTTCGAACAGCTGTATATGCGTGGGTTCAGCCCGATGACTGCAGACGTGAAAGAACCTATTAGTAGGCTGGTCCTCGTTATGTCAGACAAGCATGCTGCTGCCGTGGTGAAGCTCAATGTCAAGGTGGTGGGTTTGTTCGCGACTGATTCTTCTGAGCATCGCACGCATCGATGAAGTGTGCATATACCATTCTCACGCACAATCATTGTCAGATACAGGCCTAGTCCCCGAGTCTAGGACTGGCCCGGTCATTTCGTGATGCGCCCGTTCGATAGACAACGCCCATCGCCCCGTTCGAACACAAAGAAATCTGCATGAGCCACTCTCCGCAGCGGTGCGACGTACAAAAATCATCGCCGCTTGCTAGGGGCAAAAGTAAACTTGCCCAAACTCGGAAGCCGTATTGATGCAGGCCGGGAACAGATGGCGCCCGCGGATGATATAAATCGCAGCGCCCGTCTCGTCCTCCATACCAGTTCACACTGTTTATATCGTCTTCAATCGTCGCCTTCACGCTCCGAAAACCGCGTCGTATCGCTCAGACCACCAAGCCCCGATTGTAACGCGTCGCCGAAACATAGACAATAAGGCCACAACGCCCGTCTGTCCTACCACTTCGCCACTCGCACAACAATCGCACCCGCTCATCATATAACACCCTTGTCGTGTCAACGACATCGACGCGTCGCGTATCACCAACCATCCCGCAACCAAGCCACAACGCCCCCGAATAGCGCCCACGCCACATCCCCCACTTCGCCGGCCACAATGTCACACTCGAAGATTTGTACGCCCTAGAGGAGTCAGTCGAGTGGCTCGACCGCTTGCTCGCCGCACTCCACGACCTCGCACTCGACGCACCTCCCGACCTCCGCGGTGTCGCGCAGCGGAACCTCGTCACCATAAGCGACCTACACGTCGAGAAAGAGAGCGAGTGGGACCGGGTGGCTGCCGAGCTGTACGGCGCCGACCCGAGCGACCACGATAGTTACGCCACCGAGACTGACGTCGAAGAAGATGGACAACTCAGCGACGAAGGGAGTAGCCATGACGGCGACAGTGACAGCGACGACGACGGAGACGATGACACTGGCGACGTGCAAGGTCAATTTCTGCCCGTTCGCCTCCATCTCTCGCCACCACCCGAGCACCGTGAATATCGCGTCATGAGCCCTCCGCCGACTTTCCTGGAAAACCGAGGTGAGTTCCCCTTGCCTGATATTCGATTTGGATAAATACTCACTCCCCCTGGGTAGCTCTAGTTCGCCCCAGTCCTGGACAGCCATCAAGTGCCTTCGCATTCAACGGCCAAGCACCCAGAGACAATGACGTTCGACGAGGGACTTGCACAGTGGTATCCACCGTTGTTCAGTTTGCCTCGCACAGAACAACTTTGAATACAACCGAGCAAGGCGCCGCCTTGTCTCGCAACCACCACCTCCGATACGACGCACCTTTGGGCCGCGCCGACCACGTCTCAGCCCCACTCACCACAAGCGGCTACCGAGCGCTATCTCACCGTCAGCCTTGGACACATGCACCGAAGACGGACAACCAGAGGGGAAAGAAGAGATCACTGGAGGTTGAGGAAGTCAAGGAAGAGGAGGTCGGTGGAGAGCCCCGGAAGAGGCACGCCGCGAACAAGGAGAACGTTGCTGCCGGCCCCAGCGAGGACGACGATGACGACCGTGCCCACGAGGGTCCCAGGCCTAAGCGCAGCAGACCCAGCCCAGTCCGCCCGTCCTTCTGCCACCCGTCTCGCCATGTGGAGAACCGTGACCGAGCCCGCGCGGCAGGTGCTGCCAGCGTGCAGACAGCTGCGCCCGCCGCGGTCGTTGCTTCGCCTCCCCCTACGCCAGCCGCGCCGGTCGTTGTGCCGGTTCCCGCGGTTGCTGCACTGGCCGCGCAGCCGGCTCAAGGTGCCTTCGTCGTCATACCGCCTCCGCCTGCCGCGCCAGCTCTGCCCGCCCCTACCTACCTCCCGCCAATCGTCCAGGTACTTGCTGGTCTCCCTAACCCACCATAAAACATCGTATTGCCTCCTATCGTCGCACACCAGCCCCTAGCGGTCGCGCACCAGCATCCGATCGTCGCAAACCAGCCGGCGACAACGCAGAACCCCAAGATGCGGCTAGACTTCGTCATGATGTAGCGGCCTGTGATCTTATCCAACAAATCGCAGAAAATAGCTCTGAAATGGTCTTGCAATGTGTAAAGTAGTTAGCCCTCGTCTATCAATTCTTTGTTGCGTACCTCCAGACGACTAGAGTCGTGAACCAGGTGTGAGCTGGAGCTTGGACAGCACAAGCTGATTGTCGTCGTCAGTGTCGTCGTGGAGAGATGTGGTGACTCACGTCACAGCTCGGTGTATGAAGGGAGAGGGAGAGATCTGGAGAGATACGACTGGAAGCTAAGAGCGG